TTGTTAATATGTTTTCATTTTTAATGATTACGTATCTTCATTTTGAGATATTTCAGATTTCAAAAATTCAATTATCCGTGAAGAAAAATATAATAGTATTAAAATAACATTATTTGATTTGATTAAAAAATCTCTTCAATCAACTAAAATTTTAATCTAACGTAAATTAACACAATTTTCGAGTTGTAACGACCGTTTTTTATTCAGCGAATCCATTTATTGTATAATATCAAAGGACAATCAGTTGTTTTCGCCTTCGCTAATAGCTTTTTCTCGAGTTGTATATTTTGCAGCAAGTGATTAAATGAATCGAAGGGGAAACTCGTTAAGAATAAAATCGATAGCTTTGTTTGCTAGTCGAGCGGACTGTAATATATCCACGATTTAATCAAATCTAACCTGCAGTCGATAGGTATTTTTTTGAAATTGGTAATCTAAAAGTCATAGAAACCTACAGGCTTAAGATATTACGTTTTAATTTAATTTGTAGTTTGTAGTACTTTTTTTTATGAATATTTAATAGATCAAGTTTTACTATGGTCTCATCTTTGCTAAATAATTTTCCAGAGAACAACCGATTTATATTCAAAAACATGTAAAAAGTTTAGACTTACTTGGTTCTTGAGAAGTTGTTTCACAAATTGGTCTTTCTTCATGGATACATTCTACGGTTTCCACTTTTTTGATATTAGCACATTCGTCTTCTGTCTCACTTCCTTCTTCATCCCTTTCCAAGCTATTGATTGGATTCATTCTGTTCATCGAACTTGAATCGAAAATTCGGTGTCGTACTTTCAACCCTTTCCCGCAAAATGTTAAGCAAGGCGACCAATAGCTCCAGGGTATTCGTGGACAATCATCGTAATTCTACAAACGATGAGATTACGTAAATTACCAGTTTTGTTTTGCCACATTTACCGGCAATTCTGTTGGACAGTCGCTTCCGTCGCCTTGGCAAGCCATGTTTTGTTCCAAAACTGGAGGAGATTCCTGACTGGCTGCACAACGTTTTGCGGCAATTCGATTTTTGTATCTTCTGCTTCTAGTTTTTGTCCCAGTGCCACACGTTTCGCTACAACTCGACCAATTTCCCCATTCGGTTAATTCGCAAAGTGGGTCCACCGATGTTTCTTCTCTTAATGTGGACGAAAATGATTCCCTAAAGTAAACACAGATGGGCATTTTCCTGGTAATGTACTTGACAATTATTATACCTGCAATTTTCTTCCATTCCCCAACAAACTCGTCTCATAGTCAAATCCGCAGTACATTCTTCGGGATTGTTACTCAAAAGGGACCTTTGTTTATATTGGACACCTTTTCCACATGTGACTGAGCACGAGCTCCATTCTCCCCACGGTCCTAGTTCACAATTCGGCTTCGAGGATTCTACATTTTCGTCAAAATCGCAGTTCTTTTCGTACAATCGCTGCCTCGATAAGTAAATTCTTGCAAATGGTTTTATTGGTTCCCCAGA